TTCTGGAGAAAGGGAATGCCCGAAAAATTCAAAGCAATTTGGGCTGACTTATTAGAGGTCTATGATCAGTGTAGACCCTGAAGATGTCACATCCCCTCCCCTGCCTTTATCCTAACCCCCGTTACTTACTTTGTGTGGTAGATTGGTTGGCATTGGAAAAATGAATGAAAATTTGTAAATACACAAAAATTGAGTGGAAAAGTCAAATTTTTAGCAATTTTGCCCCAACCCAATTTCCAGGGAAAGATCACATTGGGGGTGAATGGAAACACTTGATTTCAGACAAGCCAAGACGTTTTGTGCCAGTGGCGACTCTTGTTTAACGTGTTAACTTCCACAAGAGCAAGTCCAATTTGAAATGAAAAGTTCAACTCTGCCGTAAACGAGATCCTGGATCACCTGAAGGTCAGGCCAGAGGCTTAGCCACCAGGCCATGCTCCCACAGCTAGGAAAGGGCGAAATGGAGGGAACACTTGGTAACGGCAAGGGTGCATGGTAGCATTGGGCTGTTTGCAGTCACTGGCTGAATGACGCGGGTGCACTGGGGAGCGATGAGGCATGCATTACCCCATCCAGGCTGACACATCTCTGCTCTTTCCAGCTTCGTCTCCGGCATCGTCAGACACCATTACCACAGCGATGCCCACGTCCTGGCCGACTGCGAGCTGCAGGCCTGGGCAGATGAGATCTTCCATGAAGGCTTCCTGGGGAACGAGGCATCTGGTAGGGGCCATGTGAAACCAGAGCTCTGTAGCCGCTGGTCACCGGGCTCCATACGGGGGCCACTGGGGGGCATCTCTGGACTGCATGATTCAGGAGGCTGAACGACTGTCAGCTAGATCCTGGCTAGTGTTAATGGGCATCTCCCCATTGGAGTCAAGGGGCCAAATTCCGACTGATGTCAATAGGCGTCTCTCCATTGGTGTCAATGGGGCCAGACCCCAGCTCATATCAAGTGGCCCTGCAGGCAGGGGTCATGACCCCTGGACGGGGAGCAAGGTGTCTGACCCTGCAGGAACAGGGTGGCCTGGGTCACGGTGGTTGGACGGGGCCGTGGGGTGACTGGGAATGGCCCACTGTGGGAACGGGCAAGAGGGGGAGATGGCACGTGGCCAAGCTGAGGCCCGGAGCAGTGGAGTGAGGCAGGGCAGGGCCGGGCCAGGTCAGTGATGCCCATTCTCCATCCCGCAGGCTTCCCCTCGTCCCTGCAGAGCATCCCCGAGCTCATCAAGTACCTGACCATGTGGATCTACTGCTGCTCGGCCCGGCACGCTGCCCTCAGTAACGGTCAGGTAGGGAGAGGCCAGCCTGGGTGCTCAGGGCACCATTCCCAGCCCCCCACAGGGCCCTGGGGTCCAGCCACCGACACCCCCACCCTGCCCCCCACAGCACCCTGGGGTCCAGCCACTGACACCCCCACCCTGCACCCAACACGGTCCCTGGGGTCCAGCCACTGGCACACCCACCCTGTCTCCCACCCCACTGACACCTCAATCCCCAGGACCCTGCTCTAGCAGCCAATCCCCCACCCAGCACCCAACCCCAGTGAGACCCTGGACACTTCTGGACCCTGTCCCAGCCCCCCAGGACTCCCCACTGCTGCGCTCAGCACCCCCGACCCCCACTTTGACTTTCCTAACCATTGCCCATGGGTGAGACTGTGACCAAGCCCTGGATGCCCAGATCCCTTGGCTGAGCCAGACCTTCCCTGTGCTGGTGTCCCCTGGTCTGGGCTGGGGGGGGGTCCCTGGCTGAGCTGGTGTGGGGTCCCTGGCTGCTCTGACTGCGGGGGTTCTCTCTGGGCCACAGTATGACCTTGGTGCCTGGATGCCCAACTTCCCGTCCTCCATGAGGAACCCCCCGCCCCAGGCCAAGGGCACCACCTCCCTGGAGAGCTACCTAGACACCATCCCGGAGGTCAACAGCACCAGCCTCGCTATCTTCACTCTCTGGGTCATCTGCTGCGAGCCGGGAGATTCGGTGAGAACATGGGCACTAGGGGTCACTATGGGGCAGGGAGCAGGGCACGGGCTCAGCAGGGGGCGCTCTCCCCTGGCAGGCAGGGCTGGCCCCAGGGTGACACTAGGGGGCGCTGTGGGGCAGGGAGTGGGGCAGGGGGCTCAGCAGGGGGCACTCTCCCCTGGCAGGCAGGGCTGGCCCCAATGCGGCGCTAGGGGGCAATGGGCTGCAGGTGTCTGTTGAATGAGCCGTTCCGCTGATTTCTCCATCCCCTCCTTTGTGGTAGCAATAAAGGACCCGCTGACATTTCACATGAGCCGGGGGATGAACCGGGGTGTCCTGGCCCAGTTGCACTTTGGGGGATGCCCTGTTGTTTCAACCGGCTGCAGGATTCTCCTTCCCTCCCTGGCCTGAACTCTTCCCAGTTTTGCTACAGTTCTGTTAAACACCTGCCCTGTGCTCTAGGGCACATGAGGGATCCTTGTGTAACCGGCTGCCCTACCCCAGAGGTGGCTGCATCTCAGCGCAAGGTGAGGGGTCCCTGGGTAACCAGCCACCCCGCCCCAGAGGTGGCCGCATCTCAGCACTGGGTGAGGGGTCCCTGTGTAACCAGCCACCCCGCCCCAGAGGTGGCCGCATCTCAGTACCGGGCAAGGGAGCCCTTCCGTGCTGTCCCTCACCACTCTCCCATTCCCTTGCAGAGATCCCTGGGCACATATCCCAATGAGCACTTCGTGGAGGAGGAGCCCAAGCGGCTGATCGCAGCCTTCCAGGGGCACCTGGCCCAGATCTCCCAGGAGATCCAAGAGAGGAACAAATCACTCCCCATTCCCTACCGCTACCTGGATCCCCACCAAATCGAGAACAACACGTCCATCTGAGCCCGACCAGCGAGCCCCAGGGACAGGCCCCCTGCGGCCGCTGGCAACGCTGTCCCTGAGATCCTGTCCCGGGAGCAATAAACCACAGACTGGTTCCACTCTGAATGCCTGATTCTGTCTAGTGGGGTACAACACAGGGGGCTGGAAGCCAGGACTCCTGGGTTCTCTCCCTGGCTCTGGGAGGGGAGTGGGGGCTGGTGGGTTAGAGCAGGGTGGGTGGGGAGCCAGGACTCCTGAGTTCTATTGTCCATAAGCAACAGGGATAAGTCTCCTGTGCTCACTGTGCCTCAGTTTACCCCTCATCAAAAGGAGATGATATCCCCAAGCTCCTCCGCAGGGGGAGCTAAGATTAGCCTGGGGCAGGGCCAAGTTCTAACCTGGGTCAGACTCGGGGTCAGCCCCAAGTGGCGAGAACAGATCACCCCAGGGAAGGACATGCCTTGAAGTCTCTAGCCTGACCCTTTATTTACATGGTCACATACAGTTTTTAACGACTCCGGTTGTGAGGTGTCTTGTTCATCTCCTCCCCATGACACATTATATATATATTATTGCAAAAAGTTATTGCAAAAAAAAAAGTACAATTTGTACACAAGTCTATGAAAAATGATAGACAATCAGATTCCCAGACTGGGTGGCTGGCTCCTCCCTCACAGCTATGAGCATCCCGGGCCTTTAAGACACAGCTGATCATGGGCCATCCCTTTAAGAACATGTTTTTTGGTCTACAGACAAATATTTACCAAGCACATTGAGTGTCATCAGAAATACAGGTTAGAGAACGATGACCTCTCACAGGCCACCCCTTTAAGAGATGGATGATCACATGCCATCCTTTTAAGAAACTTATTTTTTGGTCTACAGACAAATATTTACCAAGTACATCAAGTGTCATCAGAAATGCAAGTTAGAGAAAGATGGCCATTCACAGGCCATCCTTTTAAGAGATGGCCGCTCACAGCTCTCCCTCTCCCCAGGGAAAAAAATGTTTGGTCTGCAGACAAATACACCTCTACCCCGATATAACGCTGTCCTTGGGAGCCAAAAAATCTTACTGTGTTATAGGTGAAACCGCGTTATATTGAACTTGCTTTGATCCACCAGAGTGTGCAGCCCCGCCCCCCCGGAGCACTGCTTTACCACGTTATATCTGAATTCGTGTTATATTGGGTCACGTTATATTGAGGTAGCGGTGTATCTTAAATCGAACCATCACAAAAAATGTAGCATACACAAATGTGGCTAGTCTCAAGCCACCACTTTAAGGAAAAACAACTCTACAGATTAAAAAATGACCATCCCTTTAAGAAATATCCCCCCCCCCCTCCGCAGACACATCCTGACCAGGTACATGAGGCACCACTAGTTCTGATACTATGGCCCATCAGAGGCCATCCCTTTAAGATTTTATTTTGTCTGCAGATTCACCAAGTCTATCAAAGACCACCTGAAACACAGGTCAGACAGCTGGTCAAAAGGCCATCCCTTTAAGAGTTTTTGCTGTCTGCAGACAAATATTGACCATTACCTATGGCTGATTGGCGGCCACCCTTTTAAGAAATAGTTCCCACTGCAAGTAAATATTGACTGAGTACAATGGCCGCTTGGCCTCCACCTCTGTATGAGTTTTATGGGAGGGGAGTTTGTTGTTGGGTTGGGGGGGGGTGTTTGTCTGCAGATCAATATTGACCAAGTCTGTCGAGCAATGACAAAAACCCATGTGGAAGAACCTAGCCAATCAGCCTCTAGCCCTTTATGACTATATTTTTTGTCCACAGACAAATATTAACCAAGCGCACCTGGGCTGGCATTGCTATAATTTTCCAGACAGGTCACTGGATCCTTGGACCTCAAGGTCGGGCATATTATGATTATTTTGGGGCCAGTTTTTCACACAACATTGTGGCTGAGTAACGATCTGGGCGGGTTATGACCCTGCCAAGGGGAAACCTGATCACAAGGTGTTGGCATTTCCAACCATTTCATAACAACTGCGAGGGCATTACTGTGGTGGCCAGCTATTTCACTCAAGCAACCAACAAACAGCAGGGAGAAAAGTCATCCCGGCTAAAGATTCGGCACAGCTAAGAACGCCGAAGACTTGCTATTCCAAGCAAAAAACAACTGCGGAGGGCCCATATGCGTGTAGCCCCCATGGCCAGGGGCAAGAACCAAATGCAGGACCTCCAGCCCCACAAAGCAGCTGTGTTAGCAGGGAGTGACCGGAATATTGTTCCTATCGCAGCCCCTAGAGGGAGCTCATCCCCCGACACCCAGATTAAAATATATATATATAAGAAAACAAACCTTGAAGGCCCTCTTTACCCATCCCAAAGAAGCAAAAAAAGAGCAAAAAAATATTTGTTCATAGATTCCAAGGCCAGCTGGGTCATTTTGCTCAGGTAGTTTGACCTCCAGGAGAACACAGGTCAAAGACCTGCCCCAAAATAATCCCTTTTTGTGCTAGGTAAGCTCTTTAAAAACAAAAAACACACCCAAACTTTTGACTGAAAACTTGCCCAGGATGGAGTATTCCCCCCACGACACTCAGTAACTTGTCCCAACAGTTTGTCCCCTTTAAATTCACACCAACACCTTTAAGATCAATGGTATGGTCCTTTTCTGCATCTGGGGATTACCATGGAGGAGAAGCTGGATATGAGTCACCAGTGTGCCCTTTGCTAATTGGCGGCCACCCTTTTGCCAAGAAGGCCAACGGCATATTGGGCTGTATTAGTAGGAGCATTGCCAGCAGATCAAGGGAAGTGATTATTCCCCTCTATTTGGCACTGGTGAGGCCACACCTGGAGTACTGTGTCCAGTTTTGGGCCCCCCACTACAGAGAGGATGTGGACAAATTGGAGAGAGTCCAGCAGAGGGCAACAAAAATGATTAGAGGGTTGGGGCACATGACTTATGAGGAGAGGCTGAGGGAACTGGGATTGTTTAGTCTGCAGAAGAGAAGAACGAGGGGGGATTTGATAGCAGACTTCAACTACCTGAAGGGGGGATCCAAAGAGGATGTAGCTCAGCTGTTCTCAGTGGTGGCAGATGACAGAACAAGGAGCAACGGTCTCAAGTTGCAGTAGGGGAGGTCTAGGTTGGATATTAGGAAAAACTATTTCATTAGGAGGGTGGTGAAGCACTGGAATGGGTTCCCTAGGGAAGTGGTGGAATCTCCATCCTTAGAGGTTTTTAAGGCCCGGCTTGACAAAGCCCTGGCTGGGATGCTTTAGTTGGTGTTGGTCCTGCTTTGAGCAGGGGATTGTACTAGATACCGCCTGAGGTCTCTTCCAACCCTAATCTTCTATGATTCAATTCTATGATGATGCGGGTGTACTGCGTGTGCGTGAGATTTTTATTTTATTTTTTAACCCGTGAAAAGCCAGATGGGTAAAGAAAAGTCCAGTTGGAGCTGGGACCACGTCCCCCAGGGGAGCCGCTCTGCCGTGATCCCCCACTTTCCTCTTGGGCACCGTTTGCGTGTTGCATGAGGAGACAATCCTGGGTGGGTCGGATGGGCACGTCCGGGAGCAAGGTCTGTGGTTTTAACCCCCTGCAGGGGGAGGAGCGCTGCCCAGACCCAACCTGGTGACCAAAACTCAATCCACAAGGAGACGGTAGATTTCAGTGTTACCGGGTGGATCCAGCCCTGGCTCCAGACGGATTCACTCCCAGCCCACTTGACTCAATCGCCTTCCCCATCCTGAACCAACCAGTCCCTGCCCTGGGGCTGGATGGGAGCTGGCGCCCCCTAGAGGGTAGAGGTCCCTGCCCCCCTGAGCCAGCCAGTCCCTGACCTGGGGCCGGATGGGAGCCGGCGCCCCCTAGAGGGGACAGGCCCCTGCCCCATTCCCTGCCCCCTGGGGCCAGATGGGAGACCAAATATTACATTGCTGGATACATGTATTCAGCCCACACAGCCATGGGCGGGAACTGAACCCAGGACCTCCAGCCCCCCCAAACATCTGTTAGCGGGGAGGGAGCTCCCCTCACTGCCCCTAGAGGGAGCTAATCCCCCAGCACTCAGCCAGCAAACTGTGGTAACCCCATGGGGGCATCGCTCCATTCCCCCATCTTGTCTGTCCGGGGTTCTCTGCAGAAAGCAATTAGGGTCTGAACAAATCACCCACCCATCCCCATCTCCTCACAGTGGTACAGTCTGAACCCCTGAAGAAAGCTGGGAGAACAACAGGTCCCAGGGGACGCTGCCCATTACAGGAATGAACGTGAATTCCCAGGTCGGCTGATGTCCCATGATGCACCTGGGGTCCTTGGTTGGAGGTGAACGGCAGATCCCAGGTTGGCCAAAGTCTCATAATGCACCTGGCTTTGTAGTAGGAGGTGCATGGAAATTCCAGGTTGGCCGAAGTCTCATAATGCACCTGGATCTTCAGCTACAAAGCGAACAGCAATTCCTAGGTCAGGGCCACAGTCCCACAATGCACCTGGGGAGGTGGGACCAGCGCATGAAAAGATGAGTCCATTTCTGGTGACCGGCACGAGTTGCCCACCCGGCCCGGCCCATCTTCCTTCCACAGGACATGATGGGGGCAATAGGGGGAGCAATTTGAGTCTGCCCCATGGCAGAAAGGCCCACAGGGACTGGCCGGGAAGCGTCAGGTGGTGTTGGCCACAGATCTGGATGGGGGGGAGGGGTGGAAGAATTAGTCACATCAGAGCCACTTGGTCTCCTCCAGCTCCCCCCCCCCACATCCTGCTTTTATTGGGGAGGCACTCTAGGCCACATCTCTATGGCGAAGGAGAGCTGGAGGACTCTAAATGCAATAGAGCCCTAGGGTAACCATTGGGCCCGCCCACGGCCATAGAGCTTGGGCCAGGGCAATGGACAGTAGGGTGGGCAGAGTAGCTCTATGTAGGTGGCTGCTCTGGGCCCCGTCTCTATGGTTAAGGAGAGTAGGAGGACTCTAACTGGAATAGAGCATTGGGGTGACCTCGGTGGGGCAACTTGTAGGCCACCCACAACCATAGAGCAGAGC